AAGAAAAAGAAACAAAAAAAAAGAAAAAAAAATTAGTAGATCAAAAGTTGTTTTAGACTTGTACTTACAAACTGAAACATAGATGCAATGTTTCAACAAAAAAAAAAGTGCCATCACTTTTTTTATCATTGATGTCGGTGCCGCCGCTTCATCGTTTTCCGATTTTCAGGATATGTTCCAACAAGATTCAGCTAATCAAACAACCTCTTTTATTTTTGAAGTTATTGTTTTAACAACTTACTAACCAACGAAGCATTAAATCAACAAACTAGATTACTATCTAGCTAACTAACTAACTAACTAGCTGACTGACTGACTGATTAAATAACGCTAAGCAGAAATGAAGAGACGCCAAAAACTTGAAACTGTCGTGTTGAAACCTGGAACATGGGCTGGCAAAAAATGGTCTTGTGTAATAGACTTTGGTGTTATTGCCTTTGTTATTTTCCTAATAAAAGATCCGACACAACGTAAAAGCGCTGTTTCCAAAAATATTGACCATAAAATTTGTTTAATTCAAAAATGCAAAATTATTAAAGTTGAAAGCAGCTGAATTTCAGCATTTAATACTTTAATCGCCATCGATCAAAAGCGACAGCTGATTTTGACACAACCGCAAATTGCTTGCTTCTAACGCCTAAAATAAATTCAAAACGTTGCACCCAAAACTACATTTAGTTATACTACAGCCATTACTCCTCTCAAACTTCTCCTGCTTGCTAATAATTTAGAGCTTTACAATAAAACTGATGAAAAAGTTCTTGACACCATTGAATCTTTATGCATGCAAGACCGCACAAGTTTTGAGATATCGCTTAACTTTTTAAGGTGCAGTTGAAAAATGTTGATACAAGCAGAAATTCCTTGAACGTGGTAAACTATAATTTCTAATTTCGAAGTTACAATTCCGTCTCCTTTTTTGTCACCCTCTTCTGCTCCACGATCTATGCAAATAAACAGGAAATCTTAGACACCAAAATGTAGACAGGATTTGCTACGATCAATATTAGAAACAGCCTAACAATACGCTAGCCTACTAGAACGCACCTAGACTCGGACAAACATAAATATACGCAAACAGACGTACGTATACACACATCTTAAGATTCATCAGCATCCAACTTTATATACACAGAGATATGTATAATAGAATTGCCAAGAGTATTTGCCACACACAATGTTCCCCGTGGCGTCTACTCACATTATATATATATATATATATATATATATATATATATATATACGTATATATATATATATATATATATATATATATATATATATAGGCAAAAATGCTAACTCAAGGCGGATACTGGATAAGACTGTTGCCATTCTTATAGTTTTTTCCTCCACTTTTCCTTCCCTCTTTCTCTGAAGAATAAGTGCTACTCAAGAAAAAATATTCAAAAAATGAGGAAAAAAGTGATGGGTTGGAGAGGAAAAAAAAGAAGACTGAAAATGCATAAAGACAAATAGCAATGTTATGTGCTGAGTTCAGGGAGGCCAGTAACGAGATATAAACTGAACTGAAAAACTGTTCATACTTCATGCAGTTAAGTGCGTTGACCAAAAACATGTATGTTTACTGCCGTTGCTGCTGCTGCTGCTGCAACAATCTTCAAATAGATGATAAAGCAATAAGAAAAAAGGAGGAAAAAGAGAAATAAGTAAAAAACTCAAAAATTTTTAATTTTTTTGATAAGAAAAAGTGCAAAAAGAAGATAAATTTTCAGTATCTTTACTAAATCCAGAGTTTATAAACGCTGACAGCAAGAACAGCAGCAATATTATTACCGGCATCGTCGTCATCATCATCGTCATCATTATCATCGTCGTCATCATCATCATTGTCATCGTTCTCGTTTCCACCATTCATTATTTTTTTTTGCACATGGCTTGACATGAGTGAAAAGAATGAGACCAAAAAATTGTATGACAGAAATACCAGTATCTCAACGTTAGTGTTTTGAAAACTTTTTTTCCATTTTAAATAAGGATGAGAGAAAAAAAACCAAAGAAAAAAAGAGCTTAAAATAGAGAAAAAAAATAAAGAAAAGATTAAAAATAACCAAAATAAAAACCTAAATATATTATGTGCATGTACACAGAGTGAATTGGTCCAAATAAAATTAGTAAACGTTGTTCTTTTTGGCTTCATCTTCAAAAAAAAAATGAAAAAAAAAAAACAAGAGGAAGAAAAAGCGGTAAACAAAAACGAATAGGAAGAAGGAAAAAGAAACGGCAAAACAAGAAGTGAATTACGCAGTTTTACTTCAAATTAAAATACACTGTCTGATTTACTAGTTGACGGATTAGTTCAGTGCAAAAGTCTTTAAACTATCCATTGTCTTCAAACACTTTCCTCTTTACCAAAACTTCAAAACTTGTACCACAAAAAAATACCCTATTTAAGATGAAGATGGTAACAGAAATAGCAGATGCGGATTGTTGGTGAAGAAAAAAGCCATTTTCTAAATATTTTAAGTACCTCTTCACAGGTCACGCAAAAATAGTACAATTTGAATATGTCGTGCGCAGTTTGCCAAAACAGCTTAAGCAGGAATTAGAACAATGGTCACACGATGAAAAAATTGTTCCACCAACTTAACTTTATCATCACTATGTCTAAGATGTGAAAAAAAGGAGTTTTCCTATTTAAATCTTTGTACAACCAACCCATCGCTATCACATTCGAAGCTTTATCCCTACCATTATTTCCGGCACATCCTCCTGTATACAATAAGCTTTAAACTAGATTAGTAAAACTCATTCAAGATTTTTATTAATTTTTACAATAGTTCTAACTGCTATTCTAAGTTAATTTTGTAAGAAACAATGACCTCAATATTATTTTAAACTGAATGGTGTCCAGCTGCACATAAGTATGAACAAAAAAATGTTTAAGAAAAGAAAGCCCATAAATGTTTTAAAAAATATATAACAAACACAATCAAATGAATTTAGTTTTGATAATGCATTTAGTTTTCCTCTATTTTTTATTTCCGCCTATCCTGTTTATATTCTGTTCCTGGTTTTGGTTAACAATTGTATTTGGAGAAATGTACAAGCGGTTATTTGTAATTGGTGCTTCCTGCTATTACTGACGTTGGAAATTATTGTGCCGCAACTTACAGCAACAGACAGTGAATAGATGACGCATTAATATCAAACGGGTATTTGCCCATTTATCTACCATTAAGGAATACTCCAATAGACCAGTAATATGGTTTCCAGTTGAGTAATAAATTTATCAAGTTTATCCCAAATCACCCGATTAATCCCTGTCTTTTATTGTCGGATTGCAAAAAAACTGATAAAGCTATAGTTTGAACCGAGCAAGAAAAAACTTTTCCTTCTTTGCCTTATTTTCTTTCTTTTTTTTTACATAGACGGCGGAGAAGGAATATGACCATTGCTTTCGCTATAAATGATTCTAAAATTTTCAGAAGTTTTAGCATCATTTTGACAAAAAATTATCATTATTAAAAAGTTTAAGCAGAAACTTTCAATAACGGTATGAAAAGCAACAGAGGGAAGAGATACTTTTTTTTAGAAAACTTAAGTTGAAAAGGTAGTCGATTAGAAAAAGGCAAAAAACTTTCTTTGCCGTTAAATTAGAAGAAAAACGATTAAAAGAACCAACCAACTATTGCTTTAAAAGTTCATTTGTAATCAAAAGATAGCAAAAAAAAATAGACTTTAAGGGAACAAAAGAAGAAATTAGGAAGCACAATTGAAACCAAGAAAATGAAAGTTTCAAAGCAGTTATTCTATTAATAGATCCAGTTTTAGTTCACATAAATCGTTGCTTTTCAATTAAAGATGACTTGAACCAAAGAATTTTAATTTTTTAAGTATAATAATGAAAAAATTTTTTTCTTTATAAAGAAAGACCTGAGTTCAACCTTTTTTTTACCATCTACATTTTTTGCACTGTTCTTTTCTTTCTACATTTTCAAACGTTTTTACTTCTAAGATACGTTAAAAATTTTCAACGGTCTCTGTTAAAATACGTATGTATCAAAGCAGAAAAGAAGTTTTGTTGTCAAACAGCAAATAACAACAATCAAACAAACAAGCAAACGTACTTCAACAAAGCCATATAGTAACATTAGTTAGATTTGCAAAGGAAAAGACATGAGGTAATATAACACATACCTGATACAAGTGACAGATGAACGAGAAGGGGGTGGTAATGGAAATAACGACGCCGGTGGTGGTGGTGGTGGAGCCACCGGACTACCATGACCAGAATCCAAATTCCGACGTCCTCGCGGAATGATTGCCGATAATGTTCTGATCAACATCTGTAGAAATCCGAAAGAAAAAAACATTGTCGAAGTGATTGATGTCTTTTTTTTTCTGATAAACTACACACAAAACCTACGATGCTGCTTAGAAGTAAGACACAAGAATGCCATACTGCTATGGCAGTACTAGTTGAATAAGTTAAACTAGCCAATTTACTTGCTTTTCAAACTAAAACTCAATTGAGGCCACACATAACAGTATTAATGCTTATCTGTGGCAAAAAAAAAAAAAAAAAAAAAAAAAAAAAAAAAA